GTTGGAACCTTGATAGCAAGGTGTGTTGGAACCTTGATAGCAAGGTGTGTTGGAGCCTTGACAGCAAGGTGTGTTGGAACCTTGATAGCAAGGTGTGTTGGAACCTTGATAGCAAGGTGTGTTGGAACCTTGATAGCAAGGTGTGTTGGAACCTTGATAGCAAGGTGTGTTGGAACCTTGATAGCAAGGTGTGATGGAGCCTTGACAGCAAGGTGTGTTGGAACCTTGATAGCAAGGTGTGTTGGAACCTTGAAGCAAGGTGTGTTGGAACCTTGATAGCAAGGTGTGTTGGAACCTTGATAGCAAGGTGTGTTGGAACCTTGAAGCAAGGTGTGATGGAGCCTTGACAGCAAGGTGTGTTGGAACCTTGATAGCAAGGTGTGTTGGAACCTTGATAGCAAGGTGTGTTGGAACCTTGATAGCAAGGTGTGTTGGAACCTTGATAGCAAGGTGTGTTGGAACCTTGATAGCAAGGTGTGTTGGAACCTTGAAGCAAGGTGTGTTGGAACCTTGATAGCAAGGTGTGTTGGAACCTTGATAGCAAGGTGTGTTGGAACCTTGATAGCAAGGTGTGTTGGAACCTTGATAGCAAGGTGTGATGGAGCCTTGACAGCAAGGTGTGTTGGAACCTTGAAGCAAGGTGTGTTGGAACCTTGATAGCAAGGTGTGTTGGAACCTTGATAGCAAGGTGTGTTGGAACCTTGAAGCAAGGTGTGTTGGAACCTTGAAGCAAGGTGTGTGGAACCTTGACAGCAAGGTGTGTTGGAACCTTGATAGCAAGGTGTGTTGGAACCTTGATAGCAAGGTGTGTTGGAACCTTGATAGCAAGGTGTTGGAACCTTGATAGCAAGGTGTGTTGGAACCTTGATAGCAAGGTGTGATGGAGCCTTGACAGCAAGGTGTGTTGGAACCTTGATAGCAAGGTGTGTTGGAACCTTGATAGCAAGGTGTGTTGGAACCTTGATAGCAAGATGTGTTGGAACCTTGATAGCAAGGTGTGTTGGAACCTTGACAGCAAGGTGTGTTGGAACCTTGACAGCAAGGTGTGTTGGAACCTTGACAGCAAGGTGTGTTGGAACCTTGACAGCAAGGTGTGTTGGAACCTTGACAGCAAGGTGTGTTGGAACCTTGACAGCAAGGTGTGTTGGAACCTTGATAGCAAGGTGTGTTGGAACCTTGACAGCAAGGTGTGTTGGATACCTTGATATGCAAGGTGTGTTGGAACCTTGATAGCAAGGTGTGTTGGAACCTTGACAGCAAGGTGTTGGAACCTTGACAGCAAGGTGTGTTGGAACCTTGACAGCAAGGTGTGTTGGAACCTTGATAGCAAGGTGTGTTGGAACCTTGATAGCAAGGTGTGTTGGAACCTTGACAGCAAGGTGTGTTGGAACCTTGACAGCAAGGTGTGTTGGAACCTTGACAGCAAGGTGTGTTGGAACCTTGACAGCAAGGTGTGTTGGAACCTTGACAGCAAGGTGTGTTGGAACCTTGACAGCAAGGTGTGTTGGAACCTTGACAGCAAGGTGTGTTGGAACCTTGATAGCAAGGTGTGTTGGAACCTTGACAGCAAGGTGTGTTGGAACCTTGACAGCAAGGGTGTTGGAACCTTGATAGCAAGGTGTGTTGGAACCTTGACAGCAAGGTGTGTTGGAACCTTGATAGCAAGGTGTGTTGGAACCTTGACAGCAAGGTGTGTTGGAACCTTGACAGCAAGGTGTGTTGGAACCTTGATAGCAAGGTGTGTTGGAACCTTGATAGCAAGGTGTGTTGGAACCTTGACAGCAAGGTGTGATGGAGCCTTGACAGCAAGGTGTGTTGGAACCTTGACAGCAAGGTGTGTTGGAACCTTGACAGCAAGGTGTGATGGAGCCTTGACAGCAAGGTGTGTTGGAACCTTGACAGCAAGGCGTGTTGGAACCTTGACAGCAAGGTGTTAGAACCTTGACAGCAAGGTGTGTTAGAACCTTGACAACAAGGTGTGTTAGAACCTTGACAGCAAGGTGGGATGGAACCTTGACAGCAAGGTGTGTTGGAACCTTGACAGCAAGGTGTGTTGGAACCTTGACAGCAAGGCGTGTTGGAACCTTGACAGCAAGGTGTTAGAACCTTGACAGCAAGGTGTGTTAGAACCTTGACAGCAAGGTGTGTTGGAACCTTGACAGCAAGGTGTGTTGGAACCTTGACAGCAAGGTGTGTTGGAACCTTGACAGCAAGGTGTGATGGAACCTTGATAGCAAGGTGTGTTGGAACCTTGACAGCAAGGTGTGTTGGAACCTTGACAGCAAGGTGTGATGGAACCTTGACAGCAAGGTGTGTTGGAACCTTGACAGCAAGGTGTGTTGGAACCTTGACAGCAAGGTGTGTTAGAACGCCCTCGGTATTAAGTTCAAGAATCTGGTAAATTATCTGTATATACACCATCGTCAGCAACAATAGAACCATTCTTGGATAAGAGATAAGGAAGATTAGATATATATATACCTTGAGAATTTTGAAGATCCTACACCAAGTATTATCGTCTCTGGGGTTGTCAACCTTCCAAATATAAAATTGAAGATGTTAGACGACAGCATTGTTTCAGAAATAACACCATTGAAGTACTTAAGTCCGGCAGACACATTCCAGAACTGTTGGGTTCTGTGAAGGGTTTCCTTTGAATCAACGGATAACAGAACCTAATGGAAATGACAATACATCATATTTGATGTTTGTAAACAGTGAGGAGCTATGATATTGTGTGCAGCTCCAGTTGTCCGTAGTCCTCCAGTTGTCCGTAGTCCTCCAGTTGTCCATAGGTCGCCAGTTGTCCGTAGTCCTCCAGTTGTCCATAGGTCGCCAGTTGTCCGTAGTCCTCCAGTTGTTCATAGGTCGCCAGTTGTCCGTAGTCCTCCAGTTGTCCATTGGTCGCCAGTTGTCCATGGGTCGCCAGTTGTCCGTAGTCCTCCAGTTGTCCATGGGTCGCCAGTTGTCCGTAGTCCTCCAGTTGTCCATGGGTCGCCAGTTGTCCGTAGTCCTCCAGTTGTCCAGGGTCGCCAGTTGTCCGTAGTCCTCCAGTTGTCCATAGGTCGCCAGTTGTCCGTAGTCCTCCAGTTGTCCATGGGTCGCCAGTTGTCCGTAGTCCTCCAGTTGTCCATAGGTCGCCAGTTGTCCGTAGTCCTCCAGTTGTCCATGGGTCGCCAGTTGTCCGTAGTCCTCCAGTTGTCCATGGGTCGCCAGTTGTCCGTAGTCCTCCAGTTGTCCATGGGTCGCCAGTTGTCCGTAGTCCTCCAGTTGTCCATGGGTCGCCAGTTGTCCGTAGTCCTCCAGTTGTCCATAGGTCGCCAGTTGTCCGTAGTCCTCCAGTTGTCCACCGGCCTGTCAAACCTGACGTGTGAAGAAGTGTGTGCTTGTGGGTGAAAGAATTTCAATAAATGGAGCGTAGCGTCAGTTACTTCCTGTGAATAACCGGAAATTAGTTCTTAGTTAAAAGATTATTAACACTGTACCGATAGTAATGAATCTATGCCACTTGTAGCAGTACTATAACAGAAGTAACAGCAGTACTGTAACACGGTAGTAACAGTACTATAACACGGTGGTAACAGTACTATAACACGGTGGTAACAGTACTATAACACGGTGGTAACAGTACTATAACACGGTAGTAACAGTACTGTAACACGGTGGTAACAAAAGTACTGTAACACGGTGGTAACAGCAGTACTGTAACACGGTGGTAACAGTACTGTAACACGGTGGTAACAACAGTACTGTAACACGGTGGTAACAGCAGTACTGTAACACGGTGGTAACAGTACTGTAACACGGTGGTAACGACAGTATTGTAACGCGGTGGTAACAACAGTACTGTAACACGGTGGTAACAGTACTGTAACACAGGTAGCAACAGTACTGTAACAGAGGTGACATACCTGTTACTGAGACATCTACGTAATACAAGTTGTATCATCATCCACACCTGGACAGGTCAAATCTTGTAGTCTGTTGTTTGTTCCAAACTTAAGTGCAAGCGACACTGTTTTAGTTGAGGCTGGGTGGAAGGACTTTAGATTTCACTGGGGAGAGGGGAGGGGCGGCTTAACCCAAGTTTTCAGTCGGGGAGTGTGGCTTTAACATACGATGCTGGAAAAAGTGGGGCTTACAGGCAGTTTCCCACCAAGGAAGGGTAGCCCAAAAAGAAAAACTTTATCATTCACTCCATCGCTGTCTTGCCAGTGGTGCGCTTACACTACAGTTATAAAACTACAACATTACCACCCCTCCTTCAGATTGCAGACACTGAAAGAAAAACGATCAACTCCCAGTGATGGAAGTGGAAAGGAGTCAAGTGAAAGACTTTCCATCACAAATTCTGAAGATCACACAAAGCCTCAAACCAAACTTTCTGTTAGTAGTAACCAGAATAATGATACTGAACAAAAAAGTGAAAATGTAACATACGATGCTGGAAAAAGTGGGGCTTTAACATAAGATGCAGAAAAAAATCAAAGAAATCGTCTTTAAAATGTACGATTTTCAGTAGGTATATGAAATGTCTTAAACTGTCATACTTGTGTGGTCACTTGTTAATTTAATAATGAAAATTAACTATTGAATAAAAAAGTAGTTCTCTCTGGGGGCTCCAGCTCCCTTAACCCCCTCCTTCCCAGTAGCTGCACCACTGACCATAAGTCTATATTCTACAATATTCAGTGACAATACAGAGTTAACTCTGGGAATTCCCAACAAGAAGCTGAAAGGAAGTTATACTAGATCATCCATACGAATGTATATTAATATTAAGGTAAGCTAGAGGGATCACAGGAAGGTTAGAACATACAGTATGTCTCCGGTTAAGGCTTAAGCACTGGATCAGGCAGTGAACATATTTTACACACTGGAGAAGTGTGTATTTTGTGTACACTTTTCTGTAACTGTGTCAGGGTGCCTCGAGTGTGTGGCGCCTTACTTGATGAATATAAAACTTGAACGCTAATCCTTACTATGCTTGCCTCTTGCAGGGCTTTTCCGCGGGAGTATCATCCCTATGGAGGGAACTGGGGAGGTGTCTGCCCTAGAACGTCCCCGCTCGCTGGCTACACCCTCATCCCTAAGGTCCTCTGTGGATAGAGGTACGTCCAGGATACCTTCTGTAGGAATAACACACACATTTACAATGTAGACATATCTTGAAGGAAACGTTTCACCACTGGTGTACTGTTTTCCTTATGTAATGTTTCTCCTGTAGGATGTCGGAATAGCATGGGTAGTCTGAACGTTCGTGACACCCCCGGAAGTGTGAGCTCAGGCATGGGGCTGCTGTCTCCCCTGGAGGAGGCCGAGGAGTGGGCCAGGATCCAGGACATCATGGCCAGCTTCGGTGGCGGCGTGGCCAGGGAAAGTGTCTTCATGGCCGAACTCGAACACGAGTTTCAGACCAGATTAGGTGAGTACGTTGGGTAAGAGCTCAAGGTAGATGTGGGCGTGGAGGGTATGAGCAGGAAGTGTATACAGATCAAGAATTACGTTTCCTTATTTACCATCGTGATTATTATTGTAAATATACTATATATCCCTGGAAAGTTACTAAATGTGTGTGTGTGTGTTAGGGTTGTCGTTGTCGCCGTCACAGCAGGGCCTGGGTCTTGTGTCGAGCAACGAGGGCGTGATGGGCGTGGATATGGGCGTCATGGAGGCTGGGGAGATGACGGTGGGAGGGTGGCTGCGCGCCCTTGGTCTGCCCCAGTACGAGGACCTGTTCATCGCCCACGGCTACGACGACACAAATTTCATGGTGAGTTCCTCTACGTCACACACACTTCATTGTGCTAATAATTACCTGTTTATAACTACAGGAGCAAAGTTATGTTCTCGGTGTTCTGGCTTCAGTTTTTTTCATCTCATATGTTTATAAAAATTTTCTTGAACTTATTTTCTCTTGATTAAATAGATTCTGTTTGTCTACCACTACAAAAAAAAAAAAAAAACTTTCTAGTATCTCTTCGGCTCCACTTATTTTTTCAACCTACAACTGTGGCTTCTTGTCGTGACTCTTGCGGGTACTGAGAAAGTCTTTTTTTTTTTTAATCCTTTTAAGCCCTTATATGTGGTCGCCTCTCTATTCTCCTGCCAGCGTGGACATGTTTAAAGGTTTTAACTTTATAATTATAATTCATTTTTGTAAGTGCTAGCCATTTTGTAGCTCCTCTCTGCACCTTTTCAAGCTGATCCACAACACACAAACTCCAAATTATATTTGTGGCCTAATACACGTATTTTTTACTTTCTTTTTAGCATTTCTTCGCCCACGTATTGAAAAGCTGTTTAGTAATTTACCTTAGAATATGAATTTTTCGTTTTCGTTTATATGATTATCTGGTCTTTATTTTTGCTAATAACAACACCTAGATAAGAGACCTGAAGTATTTTATCAATTTATATTCAAGTGGCATGATTGAACTTTCTCTCACGTCCATTGTGTTTCTGTCAGACAGACAGACAGACAGACAGACAGACAGATATGTTGTGATTGTTATATGAATGATTTAGAGAAGCGAAAGGTTGATACATGACACTTGTGCAGCATTTTTGTATCTTTATTGTGGAAACGTTTCACCAGTCAGTGGCTTCAGTCCAATAAAGAGAAAAACGGTGAAAGATGAGTAGTAGATTGAGGCAATCAGTCCCTCTGCCTGGAGTCGATGAGTTCAGTCCATCAGTCTTGACAAAAGTTCCTCACCGTCATTCTTATAGCAGTAACAGATTGTTGGCTCTTAACATTTGGTCAAATTATTTGATAGTTTGAGTAGATATTTTGACCAGTTCTTCAAATATTTTAAAGTCTGTGAATCTTCTATTAACCGTAAATCCTCTTTGATCTGAGGTTGGTAGGGAGAAGAGCTGTTTAAAACCCTCTTCTGTTCAGATTATGTTAAGATTATTACTAAAAAAAAAAAGGAGAGAATCTGTTTCCGTCTCAAGATGCTAGATTTACTAGACGTCACACCAACATCTACTCTACCATCCTCGAACATATATCATAGAAGAAAATCGACATCTTTCTTAGCAAGACTCGTAATGTACTCGGAAGAACAGAGGGTAAAAACCTCTATTACCTTCTCTCTACTAAGTCCAGTAACTCTCAAGACTACTGTATAGGTCATCAAGAAAGATGTGCGACACTCCCCCCTCTCCCCTCCTGGAGAGCCAGTGCTGGGTCACCTCATGGACAAGCCCCTGGCCGGAACCATACCGGCGAACCACTTAGAAGCCCATATTAGCGAGGCTTTGCGGTTTACCGAGGACTCGCTAACCATGTGTGTCTGAGAGCCAGTATGTTAATAATGTATAGTAAATATTGAAACTTTCTAGCACACGATATGATGTCGCAGTCTTGTATAAATTTATTTTCAGTATTTACCACTTGGTGTGTTGTTAGTGGCAGCATATAGTGCTAACCATCGTGTAATGTTTGTATGATCTTAGTGTGACTTGAGTTCTGAGTTAAGAAATTTTTCCGTTTCTCCTGACAAAATACTGGTTGCATTACCCTTTATAGGCTCGTAGGCAGGAGATTCCGGGTCTCGTGCACAGTTTTTGTCTATCTTGCACGCTGCTTGCAGTATTAAGCGTATTATAAAACTTGGGAATAGATACCGTCAGATTGGTTTAAAAAGACACGTGAGCAAACACTAGGACATATTTATTAGGAAACATTTCAGTCCTGGGACCTTGATCAAGGTCCCAGGACCGATTTCGTGAGTTCTGCCCTAGTGTTTGCTCACGTGTCTTTTTAAACCAGTGTTAAGGCTTCTTCCCTCCTTTTCTCTGTTAAATTTTTGGTTTAGTTAAATAGCTGTAAATTATTGATAAATTTCAAACATGCTTTTATCCTCAGCGACTTGTATAGAGTTTGAATAACAATATAGAAGAAAATTAAACTAGTTAATCTCTACAGCATTACAATAAAGTTGGTTTCATGTGCAGCTTAGGTGGTATACAAGAATGATGAATGAGTAGTGTGGTGGGCAGGACTCGTTTAGATCACGTTGCTATGTGACAGAATAGTATAGATCTAAGCAAAGCTGATGTAAAGTGCGTAAATAAAGATACACATGAAGTTCGGCAGTGTGTTTCACGATGTACCGGGATACAGGAATATAAAATTACCACAAATATGTATGCAAAATATAGGCGTGTTTTAATTAAGATTGGCAGTATTTTACAGAAGTATGCAGAATTTACTGTAATTCTGTAATTAAGTGATACCCGTATTTTGAAACAGCCAGGATGAAGTTGATGTCGCCAATGACGTGTTAACTATTTGGGTTGTAATATACTGCTCTTGTTAGTATTTCACTCACAGGATGAGTGGCGCTGCCCAATGATCTCTATAAAAAAGTCATGAAGATGATTCGAGGATCTTTAGCAACCAGGACTGCCTCAGCCTGTGGCGTCTTTGTACAGTGACGCCCACGGCAATTTCCTCCTGCATCACGAGTCACGCCTAAACTCCTCCCTTCTTACAGCTGTCTCTCCAACCTTATGTGATTGCTTATTCAGCTCACGCTTGCATAAGCTCTATCCTTTTACGACCGACCATTTTCGTGTAGTGGGGGTATCTTCTCTCGTCTAGTTTCATGAAATGCTGTTTCAAGTGTCAGGATGCGTGTGTGTGTGTGTGTGTTTGGTGTATGTGTGCTTGTATGTCGTTGCAGGGGTCGAGTCTCAGCTTTTGGCCCTTCCTCTCAACCTGTGTGTATGTGGATGGAGATGAGGGTTTATAAATTAAGTTTCCGTATATGGGAGACAGAGCACCTGAGAGGGTATGATAAACCTGTTAGTAGATAAAATTGTTGACGGGGCAGGTTGATGTATACATTCTATTGTTCAGTTCTCTCTCTTTTTTCTGCATAATTTATTCTTGTAGTATTTACATAGGTCATTTTAAGAGTGTAGTTACGAGCCGCGAGTGTATCATGATATCCATATGTTGTTCAGGTGGAAGCACTAAACAGTGCCTGGGGAAATGGGAAGTAATCAAGCTTGGTCTCCGGAAAGGGAGAGTAATTCCAATTCTTTTAATCAAGAGCCCTTTACTGGCATCAAGGTATTACCCCGTGTCGTCCATGACAAGGGGTAATACGTATGTCACATGTGACTTAACGTTGTTGTTATGGTGTTTTCGCAGAATGGTGGCATCCTGGAAATCACGGACCTACGAGATTTAGGCATCACACACGCAGCACACCTGCACACACTACAGGAGGCAGTGAAGCGCCTCCCTACACCACTCCACGCCCTTCGCTCCACGTATACACTCCCAGATACAGTGGAGGCCTGGCTGGACTCAATACGGCTACCTCAGTACGCCCAAAATTTCCACAAAAACGGCTTTGGAGACATGGAGCGAGTGAGGAAGGTATGGGAAATAGAGCTGACCACTGTGCTAGAGATCACTCGTCCTGGACACCGCAAGAGAATCTTGGCTTCCCTGGGAGACCGTCCTCTGGAACCTGAGCTTCCACCAGCCCTCAATCCACACGACCTCAGCCTCGAGCTCACCAAACTGGTAAGGTCTCATGTTTCGTGCTTCCAAATGGTCACTTATCGTATGATTTATTGTTTGTAAAGTTGCAAGCACTCTTGCAACTTATAATTCTTCAGGGCCTTGTAAGACTTTGTAGATGACATTGCAGTTCTTGGACCACACTGACTTGGGTTATCCTGTTTAAATCTACATAATTCATCACTAATGTATGCCCACAACATTTATGTGCCTTCAGAACTACTGAATAAATCTGTGTACTATATAAAAAACTTTGATTTTCTGAATAAAGCTTATATACGTGCTGTTTCTTGGAGTTCTGCATCTCTTTTGATAGAAGTTTGTGTAAAGTGGATACACTTAGTTTCTTTAATTTTGGTCATAAAAGTAGCTAACATCATACAATTTATATCATATATATTAGCATTTTATAATTGAAACGTATCATTTTTTTTGTGGTTACCCAGAACTCGGACATCTCGCAGCTGAAGGAACAGTTGTTTAATGACCTTCCATCATCGACGAGTCGTGAACGCCGGCCGCCAGAGACCACCACCAACACCATACGTCGTTCGGGTACTAAAAAACGCAGCGCTCCACAACCACCATCCAAGTGAGTACTGTATATATTACTGTTACTGTTGTTAGTTGTAGAAATAAGAACTAGTTGATGTAGTAACTTATACAGTATTTGTGTACGTCTCATGACACTGTCACAACCATCACAGTAACCACCTAGCAACACTTCCACTTCAGTACAGCCACAGTCATGACAGTAGTACCACTTCCAACACATTACTACCATCATCACAGTAGTTACCCGCATGAGAGCGAAATGAAGACAAGAAAACTGTATTAGGTAGGAGGGGAACATTTAGTTGAAGATATAAGTACAAGTTCAGAAGTTGCAAAGACTCGAACAGAACAGGTCATCCTCTGAAAGTTGTTTTAAACAAGAGAGAATAGGAGATGAAGTGCCATGGTGGATCTTTATAAGGTCCATTTGAAATAAATCATTGTGATCCTGGAGAGCATCACAGATAACAGGAGGAAGATGAATAAGATGATAAATCCTGGGACAGACCCGGTCTTGTCTACCAAACTCTACTCAAACCCTTTTTCTTCCCCCCCCCCCATTACCGAACAACTACATCCACCTCCTTGTGCTTCCTCCTCCTACAGCCTGCACGATCCCTTCCCTAAGCTCCATCATACATCTACAAACTGTCACCCAAAATAATTCCTTCCAAAACCCCCCACCACAACCTCTCCTTTCATTTACACACTACCAACATCCCCAGCTGTATGGCTCACGTAGATTTAACGTTTAGTGTTTAAAATAATCATGTCCTCAGTTATCTTCCCCTCGTCTACTGCCATCCTCAGAAGAAAGGCTCTCAGGACCAAGTAGAAAAACCTATGAAAGCAAGTGACTGAACAGAACACACAAAAATAATGATCGCATAGATGAATTATTAAACCTTGGCACTGAAGTAGAAACAGAGTAGAACAATACCCAACTTAAGTTGTTAGAGACCAAACCTAAACTAGTGATCACTAACACCCTTCATACAATATAACGAGGAAAGAGAGGAAGGACGCCTTTACTGACAAGTATTTTTTTTGTACACTTCAGTGACAAGCAAACTTTTAAGGTGCATACATTTACATTTAGGTTTCCAAGGAAGTAACTTAAAAACTGTTAAGTAAAAGGACACAAATGCAACAAATGTGACATTTTATTGTGGCAACGTTTCGCTCTCTAGGAGCTTCATCAAGCCGTTACAAACAATACATGGACGCAGAGGGTATATATAGGCTTAGAGTGAGGTGTAATACTAGTGGTAGTAGTAATATAAGTTGTAATAGTAGTAGTAATACAATAAGGTAGAACAATCAACTTTTACATGAGTAAAAGGTTATAAAAGCTATTACTTGGATAGCATAAAAATAAGTTAGACAGATACTGGCGGTTGGATTTGAGAAGGTCTGTTTCAGTGTTCCTCCTCTGTAATGTGCTTGTGTAGTATTAGCAGCAGAGACTGTGTGATGGCAGGGTTTACTGTTTTCAGGAGGATTCTTGCTAATACCAGAGATGATGAAGCTGCCTTTGTTTTGTTTAATTGTTAGAAACGACGATTAATGCTGATTCAAGGTACTTGCGTTTGCGGAAATTAGGTTCTTTGATCATCAATCAGGCGTCCATGAATTTCATGAGATGAGTGGCGGAATTTCGGTATTGTACGCAGGCGTTGTTCAAGTTATCGTTCCTACATGCATTAGTGTGAACATTAAAATGGTATAAAATACCGACAGGTTGTTAGGTAAGACACATATGCAACAGTTAGGTATCTTTATTTCGAAACGTTTCGCCTACACAGTAGGCTTCTTCAGTCGAGTACAGAAAAGTTGATAGAAGCAGAAGAGACTTGAAGACGATGTAATCAGTCCATCACCCTTAAAGTTTTGAGGTGGTCAGTCCCTCAGTCTGGAGAAGAGCATTGTTTCATAGTCTGAAACAATATACTCTGTACTCGACTGAAGAAGCCTACTGTGTAGGCGAAACGTTTCGAAATAAAGATACCTAACTGTTGCATATGTGTCTTACCTAACATGCATTAGTGTGTGCAAGAAAGGTATAAAATGAGCCAGATTCTCCTCCACCACGATGCTGTGAACACTAACTCCAAGGCCGAGGGACTGATTACCTCATCTTTTGTATATAGTTCTACTGTCTTCCTATTATGTCCTAGAATCTGTATTGATAAAGCCACTGGATGGCGAAACGTCTACAATAAAGATATCCAGATGTTGCACATGTGTCTTAACTTTCATGCATTAGTGTATTCATTGAGGCGTGTTTCGGGGTTCCTTGCTGTTTCACTTGCATAAATCCTGTCACAGCTTCCACAGGGTATAGTGTAAACCCCTGCATTGACTGGCTCATGGTGCTTGGATTTTGTCCTGGTTAGATCCTTTACTGAAATGCTGGATGCGATGGCGACTTTAGTGTTAGCTTGTGGAAAAAGCCCACACAGTGGGCTTTCTCAAGTCACAAACAGATCTGTTTGTGACTTGAAACGTTGTCAATAAAGGATCACATACTGCATGTGTGTTTATATTTCCATGGTGTCGGTATTTCATACCATTTATTTCCACAGTGTTATCTTGTGCAAGTACTTTAGAAACGTTCATTGCATCCTGGATGTTGGGAAGAATTATAACTTTATTATGAGTGGTGTTGGTGCGTGGAGAATTAGTGATCTGAAGAGTTCTTTTCTTGAAATCTTTGATGAAAAATGAAGGAAAATGTGAATCAGTGAAGGTTTGGTGAAGTTTTGGAGACACTGCTTCCTGTGAGCCATGACTCGATCCATGCGAACACTTTTTCCTCAGTGCCATGAGCTGCCACTTTCTTCAACAGTCTTTGGTGCGGAACTCTATCAAAAGCCTTACTAAAATCTAAGTAAATAATATCAAATTCTTTATCGTGATCAACAGCCTCAAAAGCTTTACCGAAGAAAGTTAATAAATTAGTTAGACAAAAACGGCCTCTCGTGAATCCATGCCGAGTATCATTAATCAAGCTATGCTTATCGAGATGGCTTTTTATAATCTCAGCTATAATTGACTCGAGTAATTTGCCTACAATTGAGGTCAGGCTTATTGGGCGGTAATTTGACGGTGACGACTTGTCCCCTGCTTTAAAAATAGGAATTACATCAGCCATCTTCCACATATCAGACACTACACCTGTTTGAAGAGATAAATTAAAAATATTAGTTAATGGTTCACAGAGTTCCATTTTGCATTCCTTGAGAACCCTTGAAAAAATCTCATCAGGATATGGCGATTTATTTTGTTTCAGTCGGTCTTTGTTTCATAACCATATCACTAGTGACTGTGATGTTACATAATTTATCTTCTTCAGGCCCTCTATAAAAATTAATTACCGGGATATTGTTAGTGTTTTCCTGTGTAAAAACCGAGAGAAAATAATTATTTAAAATCGAGCACATTTCATTTTCTTTGTCAGTAAGATGCCCATAGTCATTTTTAAGGGGACCTATCTTATCTCTAACTTTTTTCTTTATACCTGGAAAAAACTTTTCGGGTTAGTTTTCTTATGTTCATTCACCAAACCTTCACTGATTTACATTTTCCTTCCTTTTTCATCAAAGATTGCAAGAAAAGAACTCTTCAGATCATTAATTCTCCACGCACCAACACCACTCATAATAAAGTTATAATTCTTCCCAACATCCAGGATGCAATGAACGTTTCTAAAGTACTTGCACAAGATAACACTAGAGACGCCATCGCATCCAGCATTTCAGTAAAGGATCTAACCAGGACAAAATCCAAGCACCATGAGCCAGTCAATGCAGGGGTTTACACTATACCCTGTGGAAGCTGTGACAGGATTTATGCAAGTGAAACAGCAAGGAACCCCGAAACACGCCTCAATGAACACACTAATGCATGTAGGAACGATAACTTGAACAACGCCTGCATACAACACCGAAATTCCGCCACTCATCTCATGAAATTCATGGACGCCTGATTGGTGATCAAAGAACCTAATTTCCGCAAACGCAAGTACCTTGAATCAGCATTAATTGTTGTTTCTAACACAAACAAAACAAAGGCAGCTTCATCATCTCTGGTATTAGCAAGAATCCTCCTGAAAACAGTAAACCCTGCCATCACACAGTCTCTGCTGCTAATACTACACAAGCACATTACAGAGGAGGAACACTGAAACAAACCTTCTCAAATCTAACCGCCAATATCTGTCTAACTTATTTTTATGCTATCCAAGTAATAGCTTTTATAACCTTTTACTCATGTAAAAGTTGATTGTTCTACCTTATTGTATTACTACTACTATTACAACTTATATTACTACTACCACTAGTATTACACCTCACTCTAAGCCTATATATACCCTCTGCGTCCATGTATTGTTTGTAACGGCTTGATGAAGCTCCTAGAGAGCGAAACGTGACATTTTATTGTGGCAACAATAAAATGTCACATTTGTTGCATTTGTGTCCTTTTACTTGAAATATTGGTGGCAATTCTACCAATATTAATACAACTTAAAAACTGTCTTGCAAGTGATGATTATAATCAGAGGCTTCAAAACCATTATATTTTCACTTATTACTATTTTAGATGAAGTAAATTTAGTATGGAAAATATAAGTTTGAATCTTTCAGGGTTAGGTGTAGCAATTGCATAGAATTTAAAAAAAAAATGAGTGTGTTTTATGTGTGTTAGGCTTAGCCTGTTTTGCATACTCCTTCCACTAGGACCCCTAGAGCACAACCAAGCTTGGATATACAAGGCAGCAAAGACCAAATTGGTCACTTGGCTATCCGTGACCCTTCACAGCTTGTGGTGGGAGTCCCCAACACTATCCTCACCACCTGGAGACATCATCCTAATGCACTTGTATCTGCTAGTGTCCAGTATGTTGCACAGGTGAGCTACACTCTCCTTGTATCTTGTCTGCTTAACTAGTGCAATATCTTCTTACGCACTTTATAATACCACTTAATATAGTTTTGTACTATTAGGAATTAAATGCTCTTTCTAAAATGTTTTCACTCCTCGTAGTTTTTTTACAATTGACAGCACCGAAGATGAGACGAATTAGGGTCAGTGGAGACATGTGGTAACTCCTCGAATGAGTAATCACAAGTTACTTATGAATGAATACACGTGTCCACACAAGTGTTGTAACTGAGGCTATGATACATAAGTTGTATATGTCTGTATGTAAAATTATTACACTGTTTTAGTTAAGTGTCCAAGACAAGAGGAAGTATGTAAGGAAAATTTTTATTTCTGATCATTGCCTCTGATGAAGAGTTTAACAACCCATAACCCGTCTCTTCCACTTTCTCCCCTCTCTACCCTCTGTCTTCGCCCTCTCTCTCCCCTTCCCCCCTCTCCCTCTCCTCTCCCCTCCCTTCTCTCCTCCCTCTCCCTCTCTCTGCCTTTCCCGGGGGGCGCTTACCTATAGTATATGGTTGCAGGGGTCGATTCACGGCTTGTGTGTACTCGCCTATTTGTACTCACCTATTTGTGGTTGCAGGGGTCGAGTCATAGCTCCTGGCCCCGCCTCTTCACTGATTGCTACTAGGTCCTCTCTCTCCCTGCTCCATGAGCTTTATCATACCTCGCCTTAAAACTATGTATGGTTCCCGCCTCCATTACTTCACTTTCTAGGCTATTCCACGGCTTGACTACTCTATGACTGAAGAAATACTTCCTAACATCCCTTTGATTCATCTGAGTCTTCATCGTCCAATTGTGACCTCTTGTGTCTGTGTCCCTTCTCTGGAACATCCCGTCTTTGTCCACCTCGTCTATTCCGCGCAGTATTTTATATGTCGTTATCATGTCTCCCTGACCCTCCTGGCCTCCAGTGTCGTCAGGCCGATTTCCCTCAACCTTTCTTCGTAGGACAATCCCCGTAGCTCTGGGACTAGTCTTGTTGCAAACCTTTGCACTTTCTCTAATTTCTTGACGTGCTTGACTAGGTGTGGATTCCAAACTGGTGCTGCATACCCCAGTATGGGCCTGACGTAAATGGTATACAGAGTCTTGAACGAATCATTACTGAGGTATCGGAACGCTATCCGTAGGTTTGCCAGGCGCCCGTATGCTGCAGCAGTTATCTGATTGATGTGCGCCTCAGGAGATATGCTCGGTGTTATACTTACCCCCAGATCTTTTTCCTTGAGTGAGGTTTGCAGACTTTGGCCATCTAAACTATATTGTGTCTGCGGTCTTCTTTGCCCTTCCCCAATCTTCATAACTTTGCATTTGGCAGGGTTAAACTCAAGGAGCCAGTTGCTGGACCAGGCTTGTAGCCTGTCCAGGTCTCTTTGTAGTCCTGCCTGATCCTCATCAGATTTGATTCTTCTCATTAACTTCACATCGTCCGCAAACAAGGACACTTCTGAGTCTATCCCTTCCGTTATGTCATTCACATATACCAAGAACAGCACAGGTCCTAGGACTGACCCCTGTGCGCGTGTGTGCAAGTGTGCGTGCGCGCGCGGGGAGGGGAGTGAGAATTGCTAAGCTGCCATTGAATATTAAGATGATCCAGCTGTTTGATTTTTTTATTATTAATGTATATAATAAATGCATTCATGGCAAGTTATAAACCCTCAGAGAAAATACTTATTAAAACTAACCCATGCGTGATATTTATTACTTTCCACTTCTTATTGTGTGAATTTACAACTGGTAAGCGGGGAACCTTGCATCACGTGCGACGTGTAGCTGAACTTGATGTATCTCTGTTATATAAGATACGCTTTGTAACAGGGTTTTACCGTGAGGTACAATAGTCTGAAAATTAATTGGGACATGAGTAAGTTTTGTGATCTTAGTTTGCGCTTAATGTAGTTTTTTTTTTTCATAAGTGCTTGCTATTTACTTCTGGCAAGCATCTAGCTGTGGTATTACCCTGCAAACTCTAGTCAGTGCTACAACAGCTGTTGTTTGTAAGGCTATTCCTGCAAAAGTGCTCGAGTGAACGTGGTTTCGCCAAATTATCCCCTTCAGTTATTGATTTCTGCAGAAATTCAGGATGGATGTTACACCTAGGAAGCATGCAAGTATTGTAGATTTTAGAAAACATATTGATTTAAGTATCAGAGAGATCGGCGAAAATTTGAGGCCTAGCAGTCAACTGTTTGTCGGATTCTTAAGAGAGATGACACTGGTGATTGTGGAGCGCTGCATGGAGGAAGATGTGGAAGAAAATGCAAGACAACACCTCACGATGACAAGGTTATCATAAATAGTGTGAAGGAGCCGAAGAAAACCAGCAAAGATATACAGAGATATCAGGCTTCAGCTGGAGTAATTGTTGATTCTTAACTGTTCGACGAAGGCTCCTTAAAGTTGGTAGAATTGCCACAAAGCCGGTAAAGAAACTGTTATTGACTGCTGCTATGAAGAGGAAACTGCTGGGGTGGGCACTCGATCAGATGTGGCGCATTTTGAAGTACCTGGGTACAGATCAGTGGTAGTGAGACGGAGCACAGGCCAACCTCTTCAGAATGGACAAATTGAACAAGTGCCAAAACATCCACTTAAGGTAATGATGTGGGGTAGTTTTACTGCTAAAGACCCTGGACAGCTTGTATTGTTGATGGAACGATGCAGTGACAGATGCAAGGTTATCCTGTCAGTTCATTTGCTTTTCATTGTGAATAGAGACTTTCCTGTTGGAAAAGGCATTTTCCAGTAGGATCTTGCTCCATACAACACTTTCAGAAAAATGCTGACATTCTTCGATGAGAGTGGGCTGAGCATTCTAAAACTGGCCTGGAAACTCTCCTAATCTTAACCTAATTGAGAATCTATGGGCACTAACCAAACGCATGATCACGAAACAGTACTGTTAAACTGTGGAGAAGCTAATTGCTTCTCTAATTAGGACCTGCTACCACGAAGAACTTGCCAAAATGTGTTCAACATTGATGGAGTGTAGCACAGCGTGTAGCAATGTTTATAAAAACAAAGAGTAGTCATATGAGTATCTCTTATTAAGTTAGTTATTTATATCATTGTCGTGTATTTTTAAAATAAACATTACTTTTCCAAATGTCTTATTTCATCAGTGTTCCAATTAATATACACCACAATATATATCTCGGAGTGTATATATGCTGAGAGCTTCCTTTAAGCTTTATTTCGTGTTCTTGCCTGGGAATGACCTGGTGACAAGCATCCTTGGTTTAGAAAGACACGTAAGCAAACACTATGACATATTTATTAGAAAACGTTTCGGTCCTGGGACCTTGATCACTTCTAACATACAGAGGTAGAAAGGCATTATATATATAGGCGGAGAGTGAGGTGTGACGCACGTGACCTGAGGAATGTCATAAGAACATAAGAATGGAGGAACACTGTAGAAGGCCTACTGGCCCATGCGAGGCAGCTCCTTATCAAAGCAACCTCTGCCTATGATTAGGACGGGTAGACGATGAAATCATGTGACTCCTGTGTTGTTGGGTTGGTGGTGCTTAAGTATCATTTATGCCAATGTTTTTGAAATTTTGTAGTTTCCAGTGTTGCGTTCTATAGTGTCGGTGACGGCGATTAGTGAGGCTTCTAGGCACCGTCGGCGTCTGAGGTCTGGTTCGGTGAGAACGAGTTGTGCCTCATTCCAGTTCATCAAATGTCCCGTGGAGTCTCTGTGGAGGACACAGGCGTACCTTACATCGTCTCTGTTAGAGGCATTTCGATGTTCATTCAAACGGACTGCAAGATCTCTGCCTGTCTCGCCTACATATTTCTTGGGACAAAACCCACAGGGGATAGTGTAGACGCCTGCTGTAGAAGTTAGAAGTGTGGGGCTGCGTTTCGTAGTGAGGTCTTTGATAGATGATGTGTTTATGGTGGAAACGTTGATGTTACTCATAGCAAGTGCCCGGCGAGTATTCGTGGCAAACATCACCACATGGGAGTACTATAAAATGCTTAGGGGCTGTTCCATGGGCGGTTTGTTGAGAATAGCTTGTGCCTTAAGTCTGCAATCTCGGATGAAGAAAGATGGGAACTGAAGACGTGTAAAGGCTTGTGTTATGTAAGTGCATTCTTCTTCTAGAAAACAAGGGCTGGAGATGCGAAGAGCTCTCAAGAAGAAGCCAATGAGGGACTCCTCTCTTAGTGCGGGTGTCTTGGTGTGAATAAAAGTGTATAGATCGTCCTTGTTGGTAGGTTTTCTATACACTTTGAAGAGAAGTTTGTCACTGTCGGGAGATCTGCACAGTAGAACGTCGAGGAAAGGAAGTTTGCCATCATTTTCGAGTTCAAGTGTAAACTTTTTTGATGGTTCAACTGCATTGATCTTGTTGAGAAGGGCCTGGATATTGAGACGTCTCGGATAGAAAACCAATACATCATCAACGTATCTTAGCCAGGTAACGGTGTTGGGAATGAGGGTGCTGAATTTCTCTGTCTCCAGGTTTTCCATGAAGAGGTTGGCAAGAAACAGCACTGAGCGGGCTGCCCATTGCCATCCCAAAGCATTGTTTGTAACAGTTGTCCTGATACTTGAAGAAATTGAAATTAACACAAAGTTCCACTAGATTGATGAAGTCTAGAAGAGGTAAAGGGATGTCGTGGTTTTCAGTGAGCCTCTGTCTCAGAATGTTGATTGCAGCGTCAGTAGGAACGTTGGTGAAGAGGGCTGTGACATCGAAGGAAGCCATGCTTTTGTTTTTGACATTCAGGTTGGAAATTCGGGAGAGAAGGTCACCTGAGTGCTTGAGGTGGGCTTGACTGATGGTGCCCAGAAGCGCTGAAAGGTATTTGGCAAGATGGCCGGCTAGTCTGTGTGGTGCACTTGAACTCGAAAATGATGGCAAACTTCCTTTCCTCGACGTTCTACTGTGCAGATCTCCCGACAGTGACAAACTTCTCTTCAAAGTGTATAGAAAACCTACCAACAAGGACGATTTTATACACTTTTATTCACACCAAGACACCCGCACTAAGAGAGGAGTCCTCATTGGCTTCTTCTTGAGAGCTCTTCGCATCTCCAGCCCTTGTTTTCTAGAAGAAGAATGCACTTACATAACACAAGCCTTTACACGTCTTCAGTTCCCATCTTTCTTCATCCGAGATTGCAGACTTAAGGCACAAGCTATTCTCAACAAACGCCCATGGAACAGCCCCCTAAGCAGTTTATAGTACTCCCATGTGGTGATGTTGCCACGAATACTCGCCGGGCACTTGCTATGAGTAACATCAACGTTTCCACCATAAACACATCATCTATCAAAGACCTCACTACGAAACGCAGCCCCACACTTCTAACTTCTACAGCAGGCGTCTACACTATCCCCTTTTGGGTTCTGTCCCCAAAAAATATGTAGGCGAGACAGGCAGAGATCTTGCAGTCCGCTTGAATGAGCATCGAAAATGCCTCTAACAGAGACGATGTAAGGTACGCTGTATCCTCCACAGAGACTCCACGGGACATTTGATGAACTGGAATAGGCACAATCGTTCTCACCGAACCAGACCTCAGACGCCGACGGTGCCTAGAAGCCTCACTAATCGCCGTCATCGACACTATAAACGCAACACTGGAAACTACAAAATTTCAAAAACATTGGCATACATGATACTTAAGCAGCACCAAACCCAACAACACAGGAGTCACATAATTTCATCGTCTACCCGTCCTCATCATAGGTAGAGGTTGTTTTGATAAGGAGCTGCCTCGCATGGGCCAGTAGGCCTTCTACAGTGTTCCTACATTCTTATGTTCTTATGACATTCCTCAGGTCACGTGCGTCACACCTCACTCTCCGCCTATATATATAATGCCTTTCTACCTCTGTATGTTAGAAGTGATCAAGGTCCCAGGACCGAAACGTTTTCTAATAAATATGTCATAGTGTTTGCTTACGTGTCTTTCTAAACCAACTTGTCGGTATTTATTACCAAGGTTTATACCACAAGCATCTTTAACCCTTAAACTGTCCAAACGTAGATGTACGTTTTTTCAACATTTGAAACTATGTAAAAAAAACGTAGACCTTTTTTTTTTACATTTGAAATTGTGTAAAAAAAACTTTGATCTACAATTTTTTTTTTTTTTTGGTATGTTTGAAAATATGTAAAAAAACGTAGATCTACTTTTGGAGCACTACGCATCTTACCCTCCAGCCGGAGGGCCCAAGAAGGAAGACAGAAGAAAGAAGATGAACGACACCCCCAACCGGGGGCCACAGCCGGGTCACCATATGGAGAAGACCCGGGCCGGAAGTACCGGCAAACCTCTAATGAATGAATGAACTACGCATCTGAACGTGGATCTGTTTGGACAGTTTAAGGGTTAATGAGCGTAGTCGATCTGCCTTAAACTGCACTAGCCAACTAAACAAGTCTTTGGTTCATTATTTTCACTGTGCAGTGAGACTGATGTTGAGAGGTCACAAAAGTGTTTGGAATTATGTTAGAGAGAAGAGAATGAAAATCAAAGTTATATGAGTATCAGAAATAACATAATTTCACCTACATACTTACTACTTTAACTAAAAAGTAGTAGACTAATATTACAAACAGAAATAGACAACTCGTCTACCAGTCATCGCCTCTGTTAAGAGCGCTGGTTTGTAGACACCTTGTTCGTAAGTAATTATGTTTAGTTACGAATAAGGTTTATTATGTTCCAGAGTTACCACATGTTTCCATCGGCACTAGTTCGTCTAACCTTCCATGTAGTCAATTGTATTTATGTATTATATTTTATATATAGAACATTGTCCGGTCAGTTATCTCACGTTATAAGACACAAGTGCAACACTTGTACACGTGTCTTACTTATCAACTTGTCGGTACTTTGATATCATTGTCATATTTCACTTTAATAAACTTATACAATACTTCTGTTGTATTGTTTAATTCCGTTAAAAAAATACTAAGAGAAATGTACGTAACAGCTGAAAAATAACGTACAATATTCCACGTTTTATTGTCTTAATGCAAGCTGTGTAAACTGTTTATTTAAAAAAATGATAAACTAATTTGAAAAAAAATGTATATATTTCATCCTAACAATATGGAAATTATATAATGTACAGTTGTTGACCGTTATCTTGCCAACAAACATGAACTCTCCAGAGGTTAAATATACAAAGCTGTCAAACCTTTGAAAAAGCTACTGGGAAAAAAGTGTATTAAAAATAGCGCTGAAGAAGGGCTGTGAAAAAATAGGGACTAAAAAAAAATCATCCCTTGTTAAGCATTTTATAAAATCGTGCGTATGATCGTCCCGGCCTTCCCAGGTTTCCATCAGCGCCAGATAATGGAAGATCCACTGGTCTATACTAAAAATAATGTACATCAATACTTTTTTTTCTGTAGTGTATATCCAGTTATACATTTTCTTTGTATCATTTATTTTAATTGTTTGGAAAATATACAGTTCTGCCTTATGACATTTTATATATACGTATGCAGGACAAGCCACATGGGGCTGGAAATGTTTAGATCTAGATACGCAGGAGCATATCAGCGGCTGATATGCTCCTGCCTCACCTCAGAAATTTCTCTTATCTGTTGCTGTTACTGCAACATTGCATAGCTCCTGACGACGCATGAGTGATAAAGTTTTAATGCTAAAGATTTCCATCCCCATGTGGCTTCTGCATTGTCAAGATCGCCTGTTTACGATTATATCGCAATACATACGTATACCACGAATTCAACTTTATAAAACATTGTTTCTCGGCCAGTTAGCCAAACTACTCACCACTTGTTCAAGATTTGCACTACTAAGGGCATCTGTGGGGGCGGTGTCCCGCTGTATGAGCAATGTTCTCAAATCTATCTTCGAATCTTTTGTCTTATGGCCACAGGTTACTTCCTTTTTAATTACAGGATTTTGTTTTCTTTTGTTACAGTACCTTGGGTCCACCCATGTGAAAGAGTTAAAAGGAACAGAATCCACAATGAAATCCATCCAGAAATTTAAAAAGTCACTCTGAAGGGCCCCAAA